AGTTCAAGTTAAATCGCTACAGTATACAAAAATATAAACCGCTGTTTTTCAGCGAAGTTACAGAACAGCAACAAAAGCAGGAAAAAACTGAGAAAAATTAAATAGAAAAAATACTTATTCAATCTTGGCTTAAAACTTGGCTGCATTTCTGAATTGCGTAGAAGCTTTTTTTAAACCTTTCCCGCTTATTTTCAATCCATAACAAAAAACAATAATTAATTATTGGTGAAACCAGAAGTAGTTGGTTTTATCGCAGGATCTTAAGACGCTCCTTCTAATCCTTGCACTCACGGCAGGGCAGTATAACGAAAGTAAGCAACAGCATCAGAGATGTCATGTATGTTATCCAGACTCAATTACACATTAGACTACAAGATTACAAATTACAGCCACACTACTGATATTACATGTATACTGCATGCAGGAGAAGTACGGTGGAATGTATTCTCTTAAGATATCAAAGCAACCGCGGCAGATAAAGCAGAATAACGGTAACTACGTTGTGAAAAATTTCTTCATACTCTGGGGACAAATCCATTTGAGTATCATGGTAAAAAACTTAAACGCACCGTCTATTCTAAAGGAAACCCGACGAAGACAATTCAAATGAATTCCATTGGCTTGGAGTCATGGTTTACAACGTCGACGACGGAAGTGCCAAAATTGAAGAAGCCTCGCGAGTTCCAAAAGGAGTATGATAATTGTTCACAGCTGAAACAGAAAGATTTCCTTCTGCTCTTCACCACCAAGTCCTCTACCATGCGTGTTTTCGAGCTTTTGTACTTCTCAAAGTGTCTCCCTAAGCCGGGGTTCTATATGAAGGAAGAGTTTTCAGCATATTTTTGTTATATTTTAACTCTCTTTTTGTCAAGTCGAGTTAGGTGCCGGACTCTTAGCAGTTTTATTCAGTCCCAGTCGACTAGTTATTCAACACCTTTTTTACCTGTAGCAGCTGTACATTCAGCGTGAAATGTGTTCGTCTTTAACGATCCTGCCGACGAATTACAATTACTGTAGTAGTATTACAGTAATCTGGAATAAACATTGCAAGCCTGCCTGACTGTAGGACTGCAAATGAAGGAACAATAAAAGGTGAAGACGAAAGCCATTTTTTAGTTAGTGTAAAGTTCATC